CAATCTGCATTGGTGTCGCAAATCAGCGTTGGTGAGGAACTACAGCAAATCACCTCTCGTTTATGCTACATTGGGAGTGCGGTTTCGACTGACAAGCATTCACAGTGAGCTGCGTATCCGCGTATCGAAAGCAGCGACGACATTCGGAAATTAGAGTAGCGAGTGTGGAACAACAACCATCTTACCGTTGACACGAAGCGGATGGTCTACAATTCCATGGTACCGTCCGTTCATCTATACAGCGGCAAGGCGTAGATGATGTATCGGCGAGACGTCCGCTGATCGAGCGCTTTCGTCAACAGTGTCTGCGACGGATTCTGCGCATCGGTTGGTGCGACAGAGTTGCAGACACGGAGATGATGCGCCGAAGTGGAATGTATACAGTAGACTGCATACTTTTGCTGAGACACCTGCGGTAGCTCAGTCATGTATACGGTATGGATCCGAAGCAGCTGTTATATGGTTAGCCAAGGGTGGGGAAACGTTACGTGGGAAAACCAAAGCTCCGTTACACGGACATAATCAAAGTGAGTCTATCACATCCTAATAGGAATTTCAGATGTTGGGAAGCGAAGGCAGTTGTTCGGTGTGCTTGGCGCGATCTGATCCCGAAAGCAGTTGCTGAGGTTCAAGAGAAAGACCTCGTGCATGGAGTGTACGTCATCGACGTCGAACGCATGGAACCTGACTCATGAAGACCTACAGTGCCATGAACAAGGTCCGGTTTCGTCGAAATCGAAGCTGCATTGGACACATGTGCACGTTACTTCAATTTCTGGAGCACCATGATTATTGGCGACCCACCGTAGTCGCGTTTCTAGACATCAAAACTGTCTTCGATGCGTGGCATAAAAGCGATGTACACGCATAGTTCGAGCAGAGTGAGGGTTTATAGCAAACCTTCAACGCGTTATAATATCTTCAGCGGCGTGAGACAAGGTTGCCTGCTGTCACCCATAAGATGTGGAGCTGCTACCAGGTAACCAATGTCTTGACTTAGAGTACATCAACAACATTGCAGTAGTCTGTGAGAGCTCCCAAAGGTGCCAAGCTGCACTAGATACCTTAGCCCTCGAAATGCAAATTCATTCTCCAAAATGAAGAGGGACCCAATCCTGCGCTGACACTTTGTGGGGGCCAGCTAGAAGTTGTTCAGGAATTCAAGTAGATGAGCGGCTACATCAGCGCCCATGAGAACGAAGATGAGATCACCAACCGCATAGCAAAAGCTCGAGGCGCTTTTGTCAATCTACTCCAACTGCTGCTGAGTTGCAGCAAGTGATGGCCAAAAGAGAGTTGTCGCAAAATTCGGACCTCCGAGTTCAAGCAGTCCGTTCAGCAAAAACAGATAGGCGAAAAATGACAGCAAACTTCACCAGTGATTCGCTTCGACCTGTTGTTCCTCCGCTTGCATTGTGACCCACTTCTTCAAGCCGATGAAGTTCTTTCGTTGACTCACTTAAGTAAATACTTGTAGGGCAAGCAAGCGACAACTAATCAGCGAAGACATGCAGACGGGTGACAATGTCTGGTGCGTCCAATGGCTGGATCGGTTAAATCGTTTCGCTGGTCCATCTATTCTCTCGGGATGGGTGCTGTCATCACAGATGTGACAGGCCGCGTGGATGCTGAAGTTCTTGGCAAAGTATGAAGCATCATGTCACGTGTATTTTCCAGAACTGGAGAATTTAATAGACGCGAAAGCGAACGACTGGGTGCACAGTTGTCCACTCGTTATATTGGAAGCAGGCATTACTGCAATTACAACTTATCTGGGCACACCGCGGACACGTCAATCTGCGGCCAATATATCCAACACAATCTATACAACACCTGCTAAAGTTGAACCGCCCCATGCCCATAAGCTGTGGCAGCGTGTGGAAAACTAGCGGAACAGCCCTAGAAAGCCTACAGAACTAGTTCACTACACATCTGTCAAGTAGATAACCCACCAGTAAATAACGGAAGCGCTTCCAGTAACTTCAACATCCTTGGTGGCAAAGAGTAAAACAACCTGAGGCGAGTGGACGATCTGAGTAGCCGAAAAACACAATTAAACCTGCCTTCGCTAGAACGAATGGAACTGGGAACTTCGCAACAATGAATGTACTCTAGGTAGATCAAAGTGATGGGAAAACATACGTCCGATGTCCTTCCTATCCTGTGGAACACGCCACCAATCACAGTCAGGTCATGTGGGAACACAACAATATATCGCAAGAAACCCGAAAGTGACCTCGACCTGAGAATTAATATGACCTTGCTCTCATGCGGAAATTGATTGGTAGTCTGCTTCAATAGGGATCAGACAGTACTTAGCAGAAGGCACTCGTACCATGTGGTGACCGCAAATATTGGCAATGCTCTCGAAGCGAATCAGCACCTTTCACCAAATCCAGGGAATAAAAATTATTGCATGAAATAAAAAATGAAACCACTGAAGCAGTAATGAAGTCATCTGTCGGCAAAATGCCACTTGAACTGTTAATGATGCACGGTGCGATAAACACAGATGGGGAGAACCACACCACTTAGCAGCCACGAGAGGATACAAAAATGGTTATTCCAAAATATGGACGTAGCCCCTGATACGATGAGAAATATAAGTATGGGTATAGATGAAGGGAAACTGGTGATAAAGTTTGTTGCTAAACGTTCCGTTGGCAACCAATTTAGAGTGATTTCGTTCGAAGCTTTTCTAAAACTTAACAGATATCGTAATGAGCAGATTGAGGCTACTTATGGGACTCCATTCTGAGAGTTGGGATAAACAGCATCGTTTACAAGGCAGTAAAAAAGAGGTTCGATCAGTGTGGCTACAGGGATCGGCTCAAGTTCAGTGACATGCAGCTTCAAGGGAGTAAACTGATCTATCGTGTGATACACTTGTGGCCAGCCATTGGTGATGAGCGCCTCTTGGTAATCAAAGGTGGATGGCTAGAAAAATTTCTGAGGCGAGCCAACCCGGAGATAATTCTTGGTCTACGTCAATCAAGTTGAGCTCGAAATACCTAAGCTGATGTCTCTAAATAATGAGTCCAGAGGGAAGAGTACCATCGACCCCTACTCAAAGCCCATAGGAAACACTGAGAGCAGTTTCGACTTATCTCTACTGACTACTCAGTAGCATCAATTGAAAGTTCAGTTCTATCAAGTTGAAGATGCTCAGGCAGTGATGCCCGACGTGAATGTTATCTCTTAACTCCGTGCTTGAACCTATTCGGGATGTTTTACATCAATGAAGATCGTGTCAGAGAGACCTGTCCACTTCTCACATCTCTGCGGCGCAACGACCAGGTCGCATATGGCATGTCAGAGCCTTCATTATCGCTACAAGCTTTCTTTCATTACTTAAATGCAGTTACTATGGATGCATTCGCTGCGAATTTACGTCAGACGAATGACTGGTAATTAGGACATTTGGAATACAGTGCTTGCGACAGGCTGAAATAAATAAAGAATAATGATGTTTTTCGGTATCCATGGATTCGTGGCGTTTCTTAGCAGTAACCGACATAGGAGTGTGTGATACCTGTTCTAGATTGCATCCGCTGTTTTAAAGGGAAAGTTAATAGTTGACTAGTTAGTTTAGTCTTCCTTACCTTTCATGAGCAAAACCGTCACTAAGTCAAATACAGAGTGCTTAAACAGTGGCACTACACAACGAATGCTGCGCAGAACGAAAATTCAAAGCAAAATACGTAGACAGCAAAGCAACCATTTATAAGGCAGCGTTTGAGTAAAAATGATTGCCACTAGATAAAATACACCGACTGATTTGATGAGTAATATCATAGCAAAACGATCGTTTCAGCGTCGTTTCAAACTTGTGCGTGCTTGTGAGCCAGTTGACAGCAGCCAAAAAAGCTAAGTGTTTACTGGATTTTACTAATATAGTGAAAACTAGAGCGGAGCAATGTGCTCTGATAAGTCAACTTTTCAGCAGTTTGTTCCTACAACACAGAACATGCGCAGGCCATTTGGCAAGCATCATAAGAAAGACGCACGATTTCAGCCACGAAGCGCGCTCCACGCCAGATGATTTGTGGTGCTGTCAGTCAACAGAGCTGCCGGTCTACGTCACTACTTCAAGAACTATCATGGACGGTCAAAAACAAGTTGAACTAGTGAATAAATTACAGAATCATACGATCGTTCAAAAATGAGACATAAGGAAGCGTGTTGGTGTACCGCATCACAGAGAAAAAACTGTATCGGCTTTATGAACGAACGGAAAATAAAAGAGCTTGAATGGCTTCAGAACAGTGTCGATCTCAATCATTTGGATACTCTGGAACGAATTATGAAGGGGAAATTCGCGTAAGAGTAGTAATCAAGTGTCGAAGATTTACATGAGACAAACAAACACGTATGGGCGAAGTCACAACGGCAGATTAGAGCAACCCTAATCGAGGTACGTCCAATCGTAAGCTGATTCACAGGAAAGTGGACATACCAGTCACTGAGAAAGACACTATGTTTCCGGACTGTTTTGAATGACTTACGAATAATGTATCTCTACTGGAAAAATGATGCCTGAAACACTGATGAACTAACCCTACCTTTCATCTGATTGAGTTGTTTAAAACCCCAAAAAGCAACTGGTAGCCGGTGATCACCGAGAAACAACTAGACGTGGCCTATACGCAGAAGCCAACGCACAAATCGGTAAGACTCGTTGGGGCCCCTAACTCTGGGACATGAGCGAAAGTGACGAGGTGTAGAGTATGCAACGCCGCAATGTACCTAGTGTCGCTGATGTGGGTCAGACATTTCGATTTAAAGACATGAATGGAACAAGCATCTGACGATAAAGTCGACTAGCGAAGACAAATTGTGATCTGGAACCATGACAAAGCAGGCATCAATGGTGAACACAATAGCAAAGGTAGCAATTCAGAGACAGAGTGTATACGATCCTGCAACAGAAAACGCTGACTGAGTCGCGAAGGCAGTGTGCGGTGTATGATGGAACTCAGGGGCAAAAAAGACGACAAATTGTGAATAAGGATAGTTTTAATTCAAAACTGCCTTATATAGAACCCCATACGATGAAGGTAAAACGCAGTACATCGTGTCAAACAAGAAAGTGATCAGGTTAAAGCATTGGAAGGGAGTCGAATGAGGCGGCTACGATAGCGACAACGACGACACATTGATTACATCTGGTGATGATTTGGGTAGAGAAAAAGGAATCAAACCAAAATCGTGAGAAACGCGAGTGAACGTTAACCATCAATGCTTACGTGAAGAAACAGGTTGTCAGGTAAGCGGAGAGCCTGATATTACTCTGCATGTAGAAGCGGCACATTGAGGAAAGAGATGCGAAAAACTTGCATGTAGAACACAGAAGAGCGGTGTTGGATGTGAACAAGTGGTGAGTAGACGCAATTTCGGAATAAGAGATGAACAGTGGAAAACTACAGAGAGCGGAGGAACTACAAATTGTTGATGCTGCTGCTGCTTCGCGAGTCAAGAATGGGACAAAGTAGACGCTTGTATAAAAGGCCATTCGCCCTCATCGACGTGAGGCAGGAAGGGGAGGGATACAAGTAGCTTGATTTTGGTTTGTAGTGCCAGGAAGGAAACAAGAAGCGCCACTGACTGTCGGTCACTGTGACTTCGCCTTCCGCGATCCCAACACTGGAAGCTTGTCCAACTGAGCGTTGATTCTACAATAAGGAGTAACAAGTGTGGGAAAAGCTGAGATGATCAAACTCCATGCATCGGACATCAACAGAGCACCTGGAAAACAGGCGAGCAAGCATACATGCGAATTATGAAAGGGAAGGGAATGCGAAGTCAGCATGAACAACGCAGGAGGATGGAAATACTCCAGTGTTTGAAAACGTTAAGCTACGTGCTGCAAGCCACGCAGTGCAAGCAACTGGATTGGTGAAATTTATGAATTCGAGTTATAGGCGAAAACAGATAAATGAACAGAAATGTTCGCGAGCGAAGCCACAGCGACGAAACCAATGTTGTCAAAATTTGTGTACCGATGCTACACAAGGGCTAAACGGACAACTTATGCTTTTCCGTTGGCTCGATATTTAGTTGCAGTTGAGAAATGTGGCGAATTCCCATTGGCGAGGATTCAAAGTCACGTGCTGCACACCTCTTCGCCAATTCACTTCGTTGACAAGACCTCAGATGGCGAACATGCCCATAACAGTGCTGATCAAAACTATCACTAAGGTTTAAACAAGGCACAATTTATTTACTCACTTATTCATTTTGCTCAGTGATGTAATTACATAGCGTATGCATCTCACAAGCATCTTCACGGCAGCGGCTACCATGCGCGACCTCCGCCACCACATCCATCCACTATGTTACCTTCATTCACCCCTCCTACCTTCGACGAGCACCAATGTCCGCATAAATCGCACTGATGATGTCGTCTACCCTGACGATGAAACGTTTGCAGCCAAATCAGCCAGCTCGGAGAACACCCGCATACCCTCATCCGTATCCCGAGCTACAAATATGCTCACGGATTTCTAATGTCACATTTGCTTGTCAATGTGCATTGATCTGATTGGATATTGTGGCATAAGCAACGCAAAGTGACAATCCGTTGAGCCATTAGTTTAAACATTTTGCATAGTTGTATCAATGACTGGGAGACATGCTATACGCAAGCCACGAAGAGGATGATAACATTCCTCTAAGATGCATCATGGCTCCCTTGGCGTTGATTTCTCTGCAAACGACTCTACCCATGATAATCGTGTGCTATGCCACTCCTATGACCGACCGAGATGGGAAGTTTTGCATTGGCCAGCTTTTCCATACTGTATGCAATAAAATGTTCTGACAACGTAGCCCATTGTCCAGCGAGAGGTGATACCGAAGATCACTTGAAGTCTCACTAGTAAATCTTCTATGGACATGTGAACATAGAAAGAAGAATATTTCCATCGCTCCGAGTTGCTAGATTTTGCGTGGTACAAATCAAGCTAGCCTTATCCTCGAAGACGACAGCATAACTGCGTACCAGATCTGGCGCAAGCACAACTAAATAGGAAAATCGCACTTTTGTTCGTATGTCGTGGGGAATGGGCAGATAGGAATAAATTTCCACCCAGAGCAAACTAGCACTTTGTTGTCGTAGTCACCGAAGATTGGTAGTCTACGGACTCTTCCCCATTATCCACACGTTTAATGCATCCACGAAAACCCGCATCGGCTTAAATTTAACGCAGCTGACCAAGACGAATACAAGCCGATTTTGCGGCAATTTATGGAAAAGAAGCCGCTTAAGTCAAAAATGATCAGTAATAGGAAAAAGTGTTGTGGTGGGCACCAGCGTCATTTTTAAAACCAACATTCCAGTCAGTGATGGTCCCCAATGAGAAATAGTTCAAGACATAGCTACGCTAGAATATCGACTGCTGATTGTGAATTATGCATGTAACTACTGTCTCTAGCACGAACGTGAACTTTAAGTCTGCAAGGATAACATTGTTGTAATTACTGACACCTGTCTCGTAATCACAGGAAGAGTGAATACTAACGACAAAGAAAACAATAGAGATGGAACAAAAATCCTGTTGTAGAGAGACCTAATGCAACCGTTTGTTTGTTCCACAGAAAAATACTCTCATCATCCAAATGAGAATATTCGAAACAAGTTACTGGGGAGAGCAGGAATGGAAGCGAAGTATCAATAGTAACTTGAAGTTAGAACCCTCAGAAGATACTTGGTATTAAGTGAACAGCCACAGACTGGAGAAATTAGGGAATAGTCCGCTTTTGATACAAAAGTCGAAGAAACCACTATGCAGCTGTAGTAACATGTTTATGGCGAAACAGGTCGTACCTCGACCTGACTATAATAAAAGGCTGTGCCTATTGCCCATGTTATCTCGCTTGCCGAGTATACCAGCTATGAAACATCAAATCAACTCCGGACTAATTCAACTGAACTGATAAAGAATTTCGGTGAAAACAAACTGGCCAGCAAATACATAAAGCATGTTTCCAAATAACCTAGAAACCGTCGACTGTATGTTGTGACGCGAAACGAGGTTGAAAAAGCACAAAGTCCATCAAAACCTCCGCTCCCGTACGCCGGCACTCGACTACAGTGAGAGGCGCAAGTTTGAATACACTGAGCTAAACTGTGTCGAGCTCTGAAAAAGCAATCCGATAAAAGGTGGAGTCAGGTGAACTGGAACACAACTGGATGTTATGGTGACAAATACACATCTTGTTCTCTCGTAAACAAAGGAAATATGAGCTCAATGTTCTCCTGCATTAGAGGGAGACAATTCTGAGAGCAAAACAGCATATGTATCAGCCACACGTTAAACTGGACGTGTTACAAATCAAAATAGACCGTCTATCTTCTAATTAGACAATCAGCAATACTAACAAAGAATAAAATAACGTTAAAGACGGTTTGTTGATGAAGGATTATCCCTCTGCTGCCTTTTTCAGGTTTAAGTATAATATTGATCACGCAACTCGTGCAGTCCTGCTGGTCGGCCCGTACCCTAAAGGTAACGAGGTTGCCTCGTAACTTTGCGGCGCGAGTTCGAATCAACGTAGGGGTGGGCGTCCTCATGGTATACATAGCCCGCGTGCGACTGGTGGTGGTCGCACAGTTGCGAAGCGCCGTTACGGCGTACAGATGACACATTATCATCAATCCTGCTGAGTTGCCAGTCCGACGTTCTCCTCAATGACCGCGCGTTGCTTTGGGTCAGGCATCAGGTTGGTCAGCATGCGCATCTCCAAATCCGTCAAGTTCGAAAACAAGTTTCTTATACGGTTTAGCATATAGGAGTAGGGCGACAGAAACCCCAGCTCATAAGACGAATCCCGGATCCTCGATAGATCGTTGGGCATGTGGATATTGGCGTTGCCCATGATCAGCCATACACCGTTTATCTCCAATCTGCAACGCATACGCGAAAAAAACTCTTCGACGAACATTGAGAACTTCGCAGCACAGTTAATGATTTGAGTGAAGGATGACTGGGTTATTCAATGCCACAATCAGCATCATTAATCTGCGTCTGATTGTAGGCTAGATGGCGTTTGCGCGTATCTACCTTCTTGAGTAAACCTGCGTCTGTCGCACATGTGGTTGAATCCGTCCTCGGGAAACGGGTATTGCGACAGTCGCGCAGCTACCCACGTTCATCCATACACACACTACATGAAGGGAGACATGGGGCAATTAGACCACCAGTTTGGTCGAAGTAAACGACAACGACGATCAAGAAGAAGATTCGGGACAGCACCCACGACATGTACAAATCCGGTTGTATTAACCTGAATGCATCAGGACTGAATATCGCCCAGCCACCCTACTCCTTCTTCCTTGGTAACAACTTGCTGATGGTTTGCTAACAGAATAAACTGAGTCCAGGTTAATTCCATACGGGTTCGAATCACACTGAAATCATGTTTTCAAACAGCCCCAAGATGTTGCGTCCAGTTTGATTTGCAAAACGTCCATACCCATACTAAAAGTTCGATGAGTCTCCAGCTAAGAAGCCACCACGCAGAAAGGCGCTAGCAGTCGAACGTACACCATGTGATTAAATCAAAAATAGAACGAGTGTCGTAGAGTTTGGCACACTGATTACAAGTATGACATGATTACGGCACATGGGGGTCTCTTGCGTATGGTTTATTCCAGTGTGGACCAATTAGTTAGACCACATCCGGCTATCACGACACAGTTTGAGGCAGCGTGCAGCGCAGGGAATACAAAGCGGATTTGCGTATTAGTTGCAATGTGCACACAAAGAACAGCTGAGGAGCACAAGACCCACAGAACGATATGACGAATGCAACCCCGATTGTAACAATAGTGGTTTAGGCATAGTCCCGTATTGACACTGAAGGTCGCAGATACTATGGGCGAATGCCGAATCGCTAGACGGTGGTTTCAAAGGTTTCCCTTGGGTAGAACGGAAAGGTAACTTTGAAGACGGGACCTACAACCAGTGACGGTATGTATCTAATCTCAGCAGTCTAGCAACTAGACACAGAGCCGACAGAAAACCATGAAGATGGGCGGATGACGAACAGTCATCGTGTCATTATCATTGTGGCATAGTCGTTGAAGGTGAGTAACACACTTCAGCTAATATGCCGCAGGAAGAAAGGAACATTTTGACAAAAAGTAGAACGAAGACTGGTAGATGCATGCATTTCGTATTGTGTCCTCAGTACCATTAATAATAACCGATATGCCATAGATATAGCTAACAGTGGGTGCAACCAGACAAGCTTAAGGTGCAAAACGAATGACGGAAGTTCACACCTACGTCCAAGGCAGTTTTAGGCTGACAAATAATTGTTTCTGAACACACAAGGCTGGCTTAATCCGGCTTATAGCGACAGCCTCAGCTGACCGAAGGAAGCGGGGATTAGTGTGGCGTAACACAACTTTAAACGCTGAGCCCAGCTCTATCTGGTGACCCGAGTCTAACAGGTGTTTGCCTATCGAGGAAGCCGGCGGTGTGCGCAAGTATGGAATCGGAAGAGGGTAGGCAAACTGAATAACTTCACGTTGAACCCATCTTGGTACATGTTCGCCGTAAATGGCGTGTCTTACTAAAGGTCGATTAACGGAGTCAAAAGCGACACGTCTGTCCAGGAATGCAACGATATTGGGCCCGTGATAAATGTGGCGATGTTCCAGCAGCTG